GGGTTACACAAATGTGACACTCTTTCCTGTTTTACCAAAGCATGTAATCATTTGAGAGAATTATAAAGAATTATGTTCCTTTAGTAAACAGCAGCAAACAATTCCTCACGTGTGTCATTTGACAACTGTATGGTTTTCAATAAAAATTCAAAAGTCAAGTCAGTAACAGAAGGAGTTATCCAGAATTGCAGTACGGTACTTTGAGGTTTGTATGCTTGTAAGCGTGGTGTATACTCTGACTAACACTCTACTTCGATCGCAGCCTTCAGTCTCGGCTGTATGACTGAGTATTTCAGTCGACAGCAAAGATAATATATGAGCACAGGTCTGATGCTTTGATCTCTGATACCATAAATCAGTGAACTCAGACATCTGGGGAAAAGGAAAATACAAACATAAAAAACATTGTGGATGCGCACAAACACTATCCTTGTTAAAACTCTTGCAAGTGCTGTGAGTAGTGGGTTACAAATGGTTGAAGAAAGACTGAGACCCAGCTGCACCAGATGTAGCAGCAGTGTGTTACAAGCCTTACGGGCTGAAGCTTTATCTGTGGAGGCCGACCTGGCTGCTACTATAACACCAATATAAGAGCATGTGATTGCCACACTTGCTGAAATAAACAGAGCACATGTGAAGGCTTTGTCGTAATCATCAGACATAGACCCACCAGACATTGCTATTTCAGAGCAAAAGTCTTTCATCTGCAGACTATCAAGGGCTTCAAAAGGAAACTCTAACAGCAGAAGAACTCGAGTCAAGATATTTAGTGAACCGATGGCCCAGATCACAATGATGGCCACACCTGTGTTGGTGATAGTGATGATGCTAGCATGCCTCAGTGGGTAGCACACGGCGACATATCTCTCCAGAGACATCACCACCAGCGTGACAGGAGAGACCACAGTCGTAAGATTGGCAAGCATGGTGAGAAAACCACATACAGGATATGTTAGTGTTATCCTACAAGCAGCAATAATATACAATAACTGACTCAGTGCCATCTGTACTGTGTCTGCAAACAGAAGGTTATACAGGAGAATGTATCGCGACGTCTCACAGAACAAAGCTTTGCTCCTTAAAGTAAAAAGCATGATTCCATTAATGCAGAGAAATAAACAACATGGCAGTGTAGTCAGAGTGGAAAATAAAACTCTTTCCAAAACCCCTTGATACTGCTGGTTAGCAGAAACATTGGTCAGAGACAGATTTGCAAGTAACATTTCAATAAAGAAATTCAGTTTTTAACATCTTCAGTGGAAATAAAACACAAAAAAGTATTCCAACATTTAAAACAGAAAGATCCACAGAGCTCTTTTCAGGTCATCCTCCTCCTGCAGGAAATCAATAGGTTAGAGGGCTGTGGCTGCTTTCAGCTAAACGGCACTGGACAGCAAGATTTTCTTACCCACACATTGTGTATATACGCTCTGTAGTCACACCTTTTCATGTGACTATCACATGTCTGCATTAT